TCCAGAAAATTCTTGCATAAAAAGTGTAGCTGTTGGCTTTTGGTTGAGCAATCTCTGGGGTCTGTATACAACTATAAGCCAGAGAGGTTAATTAGAAGGTGAGTTACTGGACAAGTCGATGTGTTCAAAGACATCATATACTGTTACTTCATGCCGACAAATGGAACCCATTTTTTAGGCATACAAGAACCCCTCCTCCAGCCCTTTTCATGTGAGGATGTTATAAAATTGAAAGACAGGTAGGGTGTTCTTGAGATCATCTAGAGTATGGTGATCACGATGATCACCACTCAACCAGGTTTCTGTAATAGCACAGATATTAATGCTGTTGTGTTATCATAACATAAATCATAGCAGTCTTACGTTTCACTGACTGGGCATTCCAAAGAGCAAAATTACAGTCAGGTGAAAGCGTTGTGTTAGATGAAATATGCACAAGGTTGGTAGGATTGGAACCATATTGTCCCGAGTGCTGTTTACTTTCTTGGCTAGTACATGATGGTACTAAGAGAGGAATTAGCCTTTTATGTTGTTCAGCCCATGATCTGTGTCCCCGTCGTGTGGATTTCCCAGCACAGATACCTAGTTCTTTCAGTTTATTGTAGACGCCTAGTGGTATTCTAGCTTTGTGGTTACAAATGGTCTTGAGATCATGGCTATTGTAGATCAGTGGAGTCATCAGTATTAACAATGTGAAGAGCAGTAGCACCATTGAGGTGCACACACTGGAACTGGCCATCCCTAAAAAGGCAATGGACATAAGTATGTGCAGGCCTCAATGGGGAATATGGCTGCTGATGGTCAAGGGGTTTGAGAATTCATCAAAAGCAAAGTATTAATTGTCACCAAAATTCTTGATCAAAAATCCTTCAGGCTGGTCTAGTAGAGCCTATGTCAATAAAGCAGACCCAAGCAAACTTTCTGGAAAACTGGCAGGCGAATAGATGTTAGAAAATGAAAAGAAATGCGAAGCAGAAATGAGTGCAACCTACTGGCGCAACATCCTTGACAATCAATCAATACTTCATATTAGTACTGCATAATTCCCTGTCATGTGATGCCACGGTAAAGGTGCATTTGAAGACCTTATCTACAGAACAAAAGAACTAGCTGATTCAGTCACTTCTTGGTGTTATAAGTATATAGATCAAATTCACTGATGTGATGGTCATCATAAGCCCCAGAGTTACTTAAATAACAGCCAAAACAGCTTGTGTTTATCAACAAACATTTCTAGGTATGGGACATATTTTTCTAAAGTTTGTTTTCACAAGATCTGTTTTTCAAATTCGTTTCTACAAGATCTATTCTGACAAATTTTGTTTTTGTTTTTGATGAAAAAAGGAGACGTTTTTCCCTCAGAAGCATATTGCTGCCAGCATATAAAACATGAAGTTGTTTAAACTTAATTTGTTTGAACAAGTTACCTCATTTGAATGACTAACTTAGAATGAACATATACTCAACTATACACAGTACATGTGTAAGTAATTAGTTAAGGATTTTTTTTGCGGTTACACCATGTACAATATTCTCTTTTATGAGTATGTGTGGTTCTGAGAAGAACCGGTTTTTACTCAACATTTCGGAACAGTATACTCTGTCCGTCGTCAGGAGACTGATTGACTCCAACTTGAGTGTGGCTTTATATGCTGGGCATGTGCGGTGAGGTGTGAAAGATGGGATCCTGGCTGCA